TTAGAAAACTTACCTAACCTTATTATAACAAGCGCAATTTATTTTAGCCTAACCCAACTAAGTATATTTTAGATTTGTTTACAGTAATTTAACATTAAACAAACACAGTGAAATATATTTTTTTCGTTAGTTTCAGAATGATTTTGGCGAAAGTATTGCATACACAAATTTTCGCTTGTCCTATATGGCAAGATGAGCGTTGCTATTTAAGCCAAGATCGCAAGTTTTGCCTATTCGGCACGACAAAATATATATATATATATATATATATAATATAAATATTTATAATATATATATATATATATATATATATATATATAATTATAACCACAAAAGAGTGGTATTGATCAATAACAACAGGGAGGAGAGTGAAATTAGCTTAGAAGGTCCCACAACATCGAATGTCCTTGGACGGCGGCCCAACAGCTAGCTCTGCTGGCTGCGCCATTCTTGTAGGGTTGGGTGGTCCTGTGGTTTAAAGCGTCATGTGGTTCTCGTTCACCATGAGGCGGGCCAGTACAACATGGGTTCGAATCCTTGGCTAGTACAACGTAATGCAGCATAAAAAATAAAATATAAAAAAAATTGAAATATTTCGACGTGCAGAAACGAACGACGAGCAATTCGGCCAAAAAAAAAAAAATGCACACTAGAATTGGTGAGCAGGTTGTATGAGGACCGCAGCCTCGTAGAGGAAAATAATATGATTTCTGGGTAAAATATTTTTCTTTTCCCTGGAGTTATTTATTTTCTTGTACACCTCTTTATTTTTATTTATTTATTGAAGCACGAACCTACGTATACGTAAAAATGCAATAAGATCACAAGAAACAATATATAATATGCAAGTAAACCATAGTGGATGCTAATTAAATTACGAACGTTTTCGTAATCTCAAAATTATATCCTTGAGAATGTGACTTTAAGATCACGAAAGCTCTTGCAAATAAATTCCTTCTCAAGTTGGCTAAATGTCATATACATATACAATATTTCACATGATTTAGATTAAGCATAGCTTTACGAGTTCCTCAGAGGTCTGACGGAAACCAAAGATGCAGCAGTCGTTTCCTTTCTGGATTGCAACACCGAGACACTACAAGAGAAAGGTGGCATTCCTTGGATTTATATTTTAATCCATGAGCATGTCACCTAATTTGTTAAGGAAATTTGTGACATTTTCTCGCAGGGACGAAGGGTCTTCAGTCTTACTGTGACAAAATTGTACCAGTGATTCAAGTCCCTAAACTTTTTCTTCCCTATGACTAGCAGTGACCACACTTGCAGACCAACACTAAAATGAATGTGCGTCGGTCAAAGCAGAGTTATATTATCTCCTCATACCAGTAGTTTGCCGTTCTTCTGTGATATAGTGCCATTGCATCAGGGAGGTGCTAGCAAGCGTATTTGGTGTACTGAACACCTTTGATATACCTTTGCCTTTGATGAGTTTCAAGTTTTTCTACTACAAGCAACAGATAGGTCTTGGGCAAAGCTTGTGCGTTGCTTGCTTGGCCAACCAGGCTGTTGCTGCCGGCTCACATATCTATCACAACCTGGTTGATCTAGCACCCGAAGAAGACGTCTGCACATGGCCGAGCAGTGTTTCTGATATCTTCTGGTAAGAGGTACTCTCAGGTAGGCAATGGGCTATTGGAGAGAGTTCTCTTGATAATGTTGACTTCGCTGTTTCCATATAGTTAGGGACTATTTATTTAAAAAGCACAAACATTAATACAATAGTTCAACATATCAAAGATTATGAATCTCTTCCAGCTCCTCTAAAGATGGACGCAAGCCAAGTATGCAGCCAGCATTTCCCCTTTGGATGGCCACACTGAGATGCTGGAACATGAAAGTCGTCACCCCTTGGGTCCCTAGTGGTTTCAATAAGTCTGGAACCTAGTTTCTTGGGGAAACAGGTGGCATTCTTTCCATTTATATATATATATATATATATATATATATATATATATATATATATATATATATATATATATATATATATATATATATATATATATATATATATATATGTATGTATGTATATCGTGCCACATAGGTAAAACGCGATTCTGGCTTAAATAGCAACGCTCTTCCTGCTATATAAGGCAAGCGGAAATTTGTGTACGAAATAATTTCACAAAAATCATTCCGAACCTAACGAAAAAAAATATATTTCACTGTATTTGTTTATTATTAAATTATTACATACTTATCTAAAATATATTTAGCAGTATTAGGCTAAATTAAATTGCTCTTGTTATAATATGGTTAGATAAGTTTTCTAAGATTCTTTTGGTGCAAAATCATTAATTTTTATATTAACATAAATGAAAAAATACATCTTTAAATGTATAAGAGAAAATTTTAGAAAAAACTTAATTTTATATGAGCTCTTGTTAATTGACCAGTTTTACCTATTTGGCACGACATATACAACGTGTACATTATATATATATATATATATATATATATATATATATATATATATATATATATATATATATATATATGTATGTATGTATGTATGTATGTATGTATATATAATATACACACTATGTGCTTAGGGTGGAGTGGCCTTTCCTCTGTGCATTGCCACTCTGGAGAAGGAAGCTGGGTGTTTCAGAGTACACGACCATTAACACCTCCTTTGGGAGACAAACTGCTCTTAGCCAAGCACCAGACTGATCCATTAGACTGGACCACGTTACAAAAACAACTGACACGACATTTAGAGCAATTCGGCCCAGTCACCAACAAGTCGCACTAGCGAGAGGAACTTTCTGACGACGATTCGGTTTGTCTTGGACCAATGACTTTACAATGGATCAAGACGGACCGAATCGTCGACAGTCGTCTTCTAAGTGCGGTTTTTGGTGACTTGGTCCACCCACGGTATTGTGAGTTTTTTACTCTTGCTTCCATTGCACAATGCATTTCGAGCCAAGTTATGTCTACACATAGGCCGAATACATATTTATAATTTTTTTCCAATGGTTTTATACAGCAAATTATGCAGAATTTAACCTTGAAATTATACACAAATAACCTGCACATATGAGAGGAAAACTGATGACGACGTTTCGGTCCGACTTAGACCATTTAAAAGTCACACTTGGAATTACTAAGAATTAAGAGGTTACGACTCAACCATTACAAACTCAAGTAGGTAAGTACACAAATATTTAATCGCATCCCTAGTTTTGTGATGATATATATAACAATTCACAGGCTATATCATGGTAATAAACCAGATATTGCTGCTTTCCTAACTGCTCTTCTTGAAAACGTAAATGATCAGGATGAATGAGTCAGGAACTATTTTCTTTAATTTTCCACAAAATGCATATTCAGGTATCACATATCTTTCTTCGCCAATGTTGTGTGTGTGTGTGTGTGTGTGTGTGTGTGTGTGTGTGTGTGTGTGTGTGTGTGTGTGTGTGTGTGTGTGTGTATATATATATATATAATATATATATATAATATATATATACATGGTCCCGGAAACAAAAACAAAAAACCCTATTATATTCTCTTTGGGGTAACTTTACGAATGACAAAATATCGTCTTATAAAAAATGCTGGATTCTTGGTCCATGTAATGTGTATATGGAAGCACTTGACTTGTACTCGTTGGAACGCAGGAGGGAGAGATATATCATAATCTACACTTGGAAAATCTTGGAAGGAATGGTCCCAAATCTGCACACAGAAATCACTCCCTACGAAAGTAAAATACTGGGCAGGCGATGCAAAATGCCCCCAATAAAAAGTAGGGGCGCCATTGGTACACTAAGAGAAAACACCATGTGTCCGGGGCCCAAAACTGTTCAACAGCCTCCCATCAAGCATTAGGGGAATTGCCAATAAACCCCTGGCTGCCTTCAAGAGAGAGCTGGACAGATACCTAAAGTCAGTGCCGGATCAGCCGGGCTGTGGCTCGTACGTTGGACTGCGTGCGGCCAGCAGTAACAGCCTAGTTGATCAGGCCCTGATCCATCGGGAGGCCTGGTCATGGACCGGGCCGCGGGGGCGTTGATCCCCGGAATAACCTCCAGGTAACCTCCAGGTATATATGTCACCCACCACGTAAAGGTGACCCAGTTTAGGGTGGTTGAAATCTTACATTTTCTGGAGTAGCGAAGGGACGACTCTTTCTACGTCTCAGGAATATCTCGCTTGAAGAAAAGTCACTCTGCAGAACAAGCTTTGATTGTGACAACTTGTAGCTGTGTCAGAGCTTTATCAAGCAATAATCAAGCTCCACCAGAGTGAAACGTACCCCAGTAAAAGCTTGTTCAACAACGTATATTGCCTGCGATATTGTTGGTGACGGTACGCCACTCACATCCAAGACATTGCTTACATCTGCGCACAACACTTGAACACATACACATTACACTCTGTATTCTGCCATTACACCTGAATCACATGTTTTGTGGGACCTTCGCTAAGTTTTTTTTTTAACTCTAGCTTTACAAAAATAGGATGATCTCCATGGGTTTAACGCTTTTCATAAATATTAACATTTAGTAAATCACATTAGATCAAGATAATAATGATAAATAGGACTTAGATTCTATACGCTCTCGTGATCACTGACTAAGCATTACTGACATTTAAATAATACCTTTCTCCTTTAAGAATTGACACTGGTGCAGTATATTATATAATATATATATATATATATATATATATATATATATATATATATATATATTATATATATATATATATATATATATATATATATATATATATATATATATATATATATATATATATATATATATATATATATATATATATATATATATATATATATATATATATATATATATATATATATATATATATATATAAACACCTTCATATATACATACTATAGAGATACAAAGGTTTCATACATAGCGCGTTCTTTCTAAGGTAAGTCGTGAGTTCCCTCTGACCTTCTGTGTATGTGGGAAGCACGCACTCACTTGCTGTAGGCAACTCACCTTTAGTATTGGGGAAGAGGCGGCGTGGGCGTAGTGTAGTGAGTCTGGGCGTGGAGTGAAAACTCCACCCACGACCTTCGTCACAAGGCAGCTGTGGTGAGTAGGCCTCCACCACACCCTCGTTTTGCTAGGCCTACTCTTGCTTGTGGTTGTACCTGTTCCTCCTGCTGCAGTGCCTTGTGCAGCCCCGCCTGTGTGGTCCTGGCTACATACAACTCCAGATAGCTTATCTTCTCTCTTGCTCTCACTAGCAAGACACGTCTGCCGATACTCAACGTATCAACCGGCACAGGAGAGAAGGCAATATTGGCTAAAACCGGTCACAGCATAACAGTAGGTTGCAGCAGAGTGAGGGTTACGACCTCCTACCATCCTCCTTACATCCCCCCCCCTGCACCTTGCAAACAAGTGACGCAATATAGGTTACCTGGGTGAGGCCAGGCACCATGCACCCCCTCTCTGCTCCCTCCTCCCCTCACACATGCACCTTTAATTTCTACAACGGTGATTCCCAACACCTGAACGCTGAATTTTGAGGTGAGTGAGACCAGATGTGGAGGGATACGACTCTTAACACTCAACCACTGACAAATCCCTGGGTGCTAGATGCGTGTTTTCCTCTACACTCCTCGTTTCTTTTCTCTCACGGGTGTTGCACTAATTAATCCAGCTTCTCACTGTCGCTACATTTAAAGATACACTTCTTCTCTCTCTCCGACTGGGCAAGCTAAAAATACAACATCAGTCCCTTCAAGAGCTACGAGTGTGCGCGGACCTTAATTCACTATCTCACACGGGGCTCCATTAACACTTTTTCCCCCTCCGTTGCACCTTTATCCTCGCCGACAGATGCACTCACAACATCCAATCACTTTCCGCTGAGCAACGGGTGACAAACGAACTCAATTTAAATCACATTGGTTGGAACCCGGAACGACCACAACCTCCCCCTTGCATGGCTAGACATGTACTGATGTTGTGTTTACAGTGTAGCTGAGGGTAGGGAGGCTGAGGAGGGGGATGTGGGAGGGGGAAAATGGCGCCCAGTCACATGGCGGGGGTGAAAATAAAGCCGGTGTTTTGTGCATGTATTCTGCTGTTATGACGCCGACTGCGCAGTTATGGAGCTTCGTAGGCGAGTCTTAATTCAATGGAATATAGAAAGACTCGATAAGATGGGTAGAGTAGGCCCGGGTGAGGGAAACCCCTTGTGTTTACAAATGTTGACCCCCCCAACACCGGCCTCTTCCCGGGTTCAACCGCCACTATTTGCTCAACAACTGCAATATTATTATTTTCAGCATGGCGGTAAACTCTCTACACAACAGCACAGCAGTCGATGGTTATTTGTACATGTCTGTCTTTGTTAAAGGAAGATGATACGTGGGGTGATGCACGAGAGAAAGAGAGAGGAGGTTTAAGTGGGAGATGAATGGTGATGCTGGTGGCTGATGGCAGGTTGTCTGTGAAATACACGCGTCGTCTGGCTCAGCCAAGCTCACTCTACCCCCTCCCTGTCCCCTCCCACCCTCTCTTTCTCTCTCTCTCTCTTTCTCTCGCACACACACGTACACAGAGAGGGAGCGAATCTTTCAGGGACCAGCGAAGAGGTGGGGCCAGGAGATGCGATTTGACCCTTACAGCTACAAGGTGAGTACACAGAGACACAGGGAGAGAACCCAGTAGCGGACAGTGAAGAAGCAGCGCCAGGAGCTGAGACTACCCCTACAACCACACATAGGTGAGTACACACACACACTTTCTCCTCGTTCAGTATCTCCAGAATCAACGTACATAAACACCAGAGAAAACAGTAGAATATTGAAGAATGAACGTGATACTTAAATATATGTGAATCATCAACAACAATGAAGTTATAAGAAGAAGAGTAGCAGGAAAATAAAACTATCAGGCATAATAAATGCATTATTCCCCGAGGGTTACCAAATATTAAGAAAGGGAGAACCAAAGGAGAAAGATAAGAAGCACTGTAGGTCATGAGGCACTGGAGATCTGAGAAACTAGGAAACAAATAGATTCAGAAAGTATATAAAAGTACCTTAATGTCTGGAAGAAAGAAAAATAGTAATTGGAAGTTAAGGGAGGAATAAAACATGAAACCCATACTGGAAACAGCAGCAAAGAGAATAAAATGCAAAGTCAAACAGCTAGTAGTAGGAGATTTCAACGGAAGGAGATTTCAACGGAAGGAGATTTCAACGGAAGGAGATTGACTGGGGAAAGAGCAGAACATTAATCAGATTACCAATATTCAAGATATACATGAGGCTAGCCAGACGTCTCGATTATTACAAATACTGATAAATTAATTTATGCTCAATAATAACTCATAATGAGACAGAAACACAGAAGATTAATTGGTCTGTATATTTCGACCCCCTTTTGGGATCCTTTTCAGAGGATCCCAAAAGGGGGTCGAAATATACAATGTGATTGATGAGGGGCCAAGTTCCCCTCAGATGTAGCCTGTATATTGGTCGTATTACAAAATATTATTAAATTTATTTAATTCCAGTTGAAGCAAGAAAAGTGGTAATAATTATAATAGTTCCAGCAACCAGAATAATAAATTATTAAAATAAATAAATATAATTATTGAAAGCAAATTAAATATGGATAAGGCAGTTGTTAACTTTTTTTATGAATAATATTGACAATATTCATAATTATAATAATATTGGTGCCGGAAATGATAAATGTGAAATACGAGGAGAGACTTAATTAACTCTAACAACAAAAAGAGAGAAGGACCGGGGGGGGGGGGATGGACATGATCACGACGTGCAAAATACTCAGAATATTAGATAGATTAGAGGAGAGGGAGCCAGGGGATAGAGATGACAGCTAAAGATGATGACTACTGGGAACGCTTGGAAGCACTTGACTTGTACTCGTTGGAACGCAGGAGGGAGAGATATATCATAATCTACACTTGGAAAATCTTGGAAGGAATGGTCCCAAATCTGCACACAGAAATCACTCCCTACGAAAGTAAAAGACTGGGCAGGCGATGCAAAATGCCGCCAATAAAAAGTAGGGGCGCCATTGGTACACTAAGAGAAAACACCATAAGTGTCCGGGGCCCAAAACTGTTCAACAGCCTCCCATCAAGCATTAGGGGAATTGCCAATAAACCCCTGGCTGCCTTCAAGAGAGAGCTGGACAGATACCTAAAGTCGGTGCCGGATCAGCCGGGCTGTGGCTCGTACGTCGGACTGCGTGCGGCCAGCAGTAACAGCCTAGTTGATCAGGCCCTGATCCATCGGGAGGCCTGGTCGTGGACCGGGCCGCGGGGGCGTTGATCCCCGGAATAACCTCCAGGTAACCTCCAGGTATGAGCCATAGAGACATCAGAAAACATTTTTTTTCGTCTTGGGATGGTGTGAAGAAAGATCTAGACGAAGAGGTGGTGAAGGCGATCACAATACACAGTGTTAGGAGTAGGTATGAGTTGAGGCCAGGGTAGGAGCTATGATTCGACCCCTGCAAAAAGAAGTAGGCAAGAACACATGCTCTTGTCCATGGAGAGAGAGAGAGAGAGAGAGAGAGAGAGAGAGAGAGAGAGAGAGAGAGAGAGAGAGAGAGGAGAGAGAGAGAGAGAGAGAGAGAGAGAGAGAGAGAGGACAGCGTGAAACAAGCTTTTATGCCACAAGACGGGCAGAAAGCAGCAACTTCACTCTGGCTGTACCCTTCTCCAGAACATCACTCCATCTGAGATCATATATACCCAGGATGACTCGAGTATGGAACACATTCGTACAGCATAATGATGTCAACGAGATAAAGTCAGTTGATCAAATGAAAATGCTGGCCCACAGATGGCTCCAACTTCATCCTGTTTCCTACTTGTATGTCTCATAACAATAAAAATGCTTTCAAATGAGCTGATGTAGGTAACAGCTCTTAGCTTGCCAATAAAGTTAGGAATCCTTAACCTGTAAATAGCTGTCAATAAAGCTAGGGATCCTTAACCTTTTCAAACCCTATGCAAAAGAGAGAGAGAGAGAGAGAGAGAGAGAGAGAGAGGAGAAGAGAGAGAGAGAGAGAGAGAGAGAGAGAGAGAGAGAGAGAGAGAGAGAGAGAGAGAGAGAGAGAGAGAGAGAGAGGAGAGAGAAGAGAGAGAGGAGAGAGAGAGAGAGGAGGAGAGAGAGAGAAGAGAGAGAGAGAGAGAGAGAGAAGAGAGGAGAGAGAGAGAGAGAGAACGTGTTTGTCTTTAAATGACAAAAATCATGACAGTTTTAACTGTGAAATCTGAGAATGTTATGTTTACACTGAGGCTCTTCCAAGTATGTCTGGTTGTGGTGTTGATGACCTTTATCCCTCCCTGACAACCCTCACCCTGCTCTTTATCCCTCCCTGACAACCCTCACCCTGCTCTTTATCCCTCCCTGACAACCCTCACCCTGCTCTTTATCCCTCCCTGACAACCCTCACCCTGCTCTTTATCCCTCCCTGACAACCCTCACCCTGCTCTTTATCCCTCCCTGACAACCCTCACCCTGCTCTTTATCCCTCCCTGACAACCCTCACCCTGCTCTTTATCCCTCCCTGACAACCCTCACCCTGCTCTTACCCCCGTGTGCACATAGCATACCTCAGCCTGAGTCAGGTACACTATACAGTGTCAGGTACACTATACAGTGTCAGGTACACTATACAGTGTCAGGTACACTATACAGTGTCAGGTACACTATACAGTGTCAGGTACACTATACAGTGTCAGGTACACTATGCAGTCTGAGGTACACTATATAACTGGCACTGGGTTAACTAGCGTGTATCTATAAAGTGAGGTACACTATAACTGGCACTGGGTTAACTAGCGTGTATCTATAAAGTGAGGTACACTATAGCTGGCACTGGGTTAACTAGTGTGTATCTATAAAGTGAGGTACACTATAGCTGGCACTGGGTTAACTAGTATGTATCTATAAAGTGAGGTACACTATATAGCTGGCACTTGGTTAAGTAACATGGATACATTACTTCTCAGTAACCTCTTTCTTATACAGAGAATTTTGGACTGCCATAAAATAAACTCATAACTGTCAGAACTGCTCTGAATAAGAGTGAGTTTTAGGCAGGCATTCAGCTCACACTGAGGCCCTTGGTTCGATCCCCGGTACGGGTGAAAAACATTACGACATGTTTCCTTAGGACACCTGTTGTCCATGTTCACCAAGCAGTAAATAGGCACCTGACTGTTAGTCAACTTACACCTACTGTGGAAAATTTTTAATTTTCCGAAACTATAGCGCCTAATAGGTGTTTTATGTGCCGATAGGAGTCAAAATGTATTTGAAAATGGAGTAGAACCAAGAGTTCCCTTGGCGCATGCGCGGATGTGCGGGGGAGGCGGGGGCGCGTATGGTTTGAATGGTGGTGAGGAAGCTGAGAAAACATGGAACCACGAAATTGACGTTCACGGTGGCCTAAGGATTAATATAGGCCTCATTTCATAATAAGAAGTGTCGTAATTGTTCCTGGTGGAGAGTGAGGGAACGGGATTTACGGGACCACAGTAATAGAGTGGTAAAGTGTGATAAGAGAAGGAGCGGGTGACTGACGCGTCACAATAGACTGTGTCCTGGGGAAAATTACCCTTGGATTAATCATCACTCATCGGTCTCAGATCTTAATGGAGTGACCTCTAGTTTGTATAATAGTTATGAGACGTTAAATCGTCTTGTGAATTGTAATGTAATTAATGATAATAACGCTAAGTTAAGCGAATATGTGAAGTGAAATAAGTCGTTGCTCCGAGTGAACACGCTAGAACCTCGTTGTTAACGAACGAGGAAAGGGAAACTCCTTGAGTCACGATGTCTAAAGCAGGACAAACCAGCGGATACCTCGTCCTGCGGGAATGAGAATCGTGTCGGTGTAGCAGGACATCGAAAATGAGATGGTGAATCAAGAAATGAGGAATATCCATCACCCACAGTTAAGTAACCCTTC